ATATCGACAAGCTTTTCATGATATCTTCGACTCAGAGAACCTCTGCAAATACCAACAGGCTAAAAAAAGAGAGAGAGAGAGAGAGAGAGAGAGAATCTTGAAATGTATAGAATGAAGACGTCCACTAACAATTGAAATCTTGAGTGAGAACAAAGCTGGTGGCATCACACTTCCTGACTACAATTTATTATAAAGAGAAAACAAGCAAACAGTGTGTTATTGGAGAAACACAGACCCATAGATCAATAGAACAGTACAAAAAACACAGAAATAACACCCAGCACATACTTTCAAGTAATCTGTGACAAAGTTGCAAGACACAGAAGGGAAAGATAGTTTCTTCAATGAATGGTGCTGTTAAAAATCAACATTCACATGCAAACAACAAAACTGGACACCACTGATAAAATTTAACTCAACCTGCAAGACAGAATTAAATGTCAGTGCTACAGCCCTAACCGGTTTGACTCAGTGGATAGAGCGTCAGCCTGTGGACAGAAGGGTCCCAGGTTCGATTGTGGTCAAGGGCATGTACCTTGGTTGCGGGCACATCCCCAGTAAGACGTGTGCAGGAGGCAGCTGACCAATGTTTCTCTCTCATTGATGTTTCTAACTCTCTGTCCCTCTACCTTCCTCTCTGTAAAAAATCAATAAAATATATTTTCTTAAAATAAAAAGTCAGAGCTACAACTTAAGTCCTTCAAGAGAACCTAGAGAAAAAGTTTTGGAGATTTGTTTTAGACAGGATTTCCTGAATGTGACACCAACTCACCAGAAAACATAGAGAAAACAAACATTCCAGACTGCAAAAAATAAAGAAAAAGCTTCTTTATTGCACAACAGCAATAAACAAAATGAAATGAAAGGCAATGTAGAGGGTTGGAGAAAATACTAGCAAATCATATGAAGGAATCATTTGCACAGGTTGTGGATGCAGTTCTGATCAGCACAATAAAGAGAATATTAAGACACAGATAGAAATTCACACAAATAGTTGAAGTTCCCCAGGAATAATAAAGGTGTGTTAACACTATACTGCAGGCTAATAACAATACAATAACTCTGTCTCAAAACAAACTCTATAAAACTTCATTAAAAATACTTTATTGCAAAGCACTAGTAACAAACATCTGA